ATATAAAAGTTTCAACGGAGGTTGAGATTTGGGCTGTGTTTATTTATTTGTGGTTGGGCTGGTTTTACRTTGCGTTTGGGCTGAAAACTGTCAGTCTCTGGTAACCCTGTCAGTAATAGATATAGGCCTATATTTTGGTTTTGTTGAATCCAAAATTTACAATGTGTAATATTACAGTATCCTATGATTATGCCGTTTTATTTATTTTTATTTTTTATTAATCTGCTTAGAGTTGAATTACCATTTTAATTAGCTACCAACTTGTATTTAATTTCAAAAATAGTTTTTCTTGAATAACACCCTAGGGAGAATTTTTTTTTATTTTTTACTTCTGTTTTTCCACCATTTCCTCAAGCTTAAAGTTAGCTCTTGCTATGTAGGCCTATAGTTAGATGGGGTTACACAGCTGTTTCACAAAATGGCTGCGGCAGACATCAAAGATGTGACCCATTGGGGATCCCTTAGGAAACCCCGTTATAATAAATGCTAAACACAACAACCTGTTGTTTTCCTTTCAGTGATTGATGTGTAGTCAGCATCACGGCCCAGCAGCCTTTAGCTTCAGGTAGCGCAATCGTTGTTCTTTGACATGTAGACACTTACAGGATTACACATTTAAAACTGATGTAAATCTTTAGGAAACCCAAGTAATACGCCGCAGTAGTAAAACAGCATTTACTTGAACCATTACCATATATTTAAAAGCTGCATGTCAAACACAGCACGGCATGCTATGATTACCTAACTTCAAGCTAAAGTTTTGCTTTGTTGTTTAGCTTCTTTACTATTCTTATGTAATACCAAGAGTATAAACATCGTCAGATGCAAAGAAACTTATCTTAGGTATCACACTCAAATAACGATTTAGCTAACACAAGCTAAGCAGTAAGATAGTGCTAACTAAGCTAGCAGATGTTTGTCACTAAAGAAGTTCTCTGCTTTGCAGATAAAAACTAAAACTAGGAAATTATTGACTAAATTTATTGTTAGTTCTGTGAGGGGCTAATCTGAAGTAGTCACATTTTCTTAGGACTGAGGCTAACCTAAATTTAACGCAGTAGTGATTTAATTAAATTACTAAATTTGCATCCAAAGAGCATTTTCTCTAAACNTTGTTAGTTCTGTGAGGGGCTAATCTGAAGTAGTCACATTTTCTTAGGACTGAGGCTAACCTAAATTTAACGCAGTAGTGATTTAATTAAATTACCAAATTTGCATCCAAAGAGCATTTTCTCTAAACAGGATTTTTTTTTTTTTTTTTTTTGATGTCGTCACCAGGGCAGGCTGATAAATGTGGTGCGGAACGGAGGGGGAGGGAGCCAGTGTAGCTGGGAGCAGTAGGTCCGGCTGTACCAGCAGAGGATCGCCCGTGGTAAGTTGCTTATTCTCAAACCGTCGTTTTAATAGAAAGTATGCAGCCTGGGGTCTATCCGGACCATATGTAATTAAACAGCATGTATTTACTAAAGCAGGCCCATGTCGCGTTTCTGTCCGGATATTTTTGTTTGGTAAATCCAGCAGCCACAAGCCTGCTGCACAAAGACCAGCCCCTACAGAGCTCCACGGCGATAAAAGCAGTTAAAGTTACGAAATGAAATGTTTTTACGCCATTTCATAACCTTTATGCTTGTAACTGCTTTTTGTTATGAGCGTTAAACTCGGTTTTCTCTTGCGTAAATAAGTTGTAGACTCGCAGAGGTTCGCGGCAAAAATGGACAACGCGAGATTTCATCCGAGCTTTTAGGAGGGAGAGTCGGCAGACACGGCAGCAGCGTGGCCGCTCAGCCTTTCAAATATTGTAGCACAGGAGGGCTGAAAGRACCGAGGGAACAAGACAACTGGAGCAGGAAGTGCAAAGCATGTGGAGAAACTCTGTTTAAACTGCCCCCCCAACACGGTACAATAACGAAGATGAAGAAATGAAGAGTTTTTAGCATTCAGTTTTTCCTATCTCCTCTGTCAGACAAAGAAAGGGGGGATTGGGTAACCCGCCCACTGGCCTAGTCTCACCCTCTAATCCAGTGGTGTCAAACTCATTTTCACTGAGGGCCTCATGAGGGTTATAGTGGCCCTCGAGGGCCACTTGTAATGAACTTTGATGTTTCATATTTAACTTTGACTAAACAGTTTTAACACATCATCTTTTAAACACTGTCAAGAACTAAGTGTATGACTGAGTAAATCTGTAATAAATACAGAAATATTATTTAGAAAAAGTTTTACTCACTGATGAGTTTCTAGTGAGTAGCTGCATTATGTCAGATTTAGTTTATGTTTGATGGTGACTTTAAAGCAGCTTATTTTCAGACATCAGTACTGTGC